CACACACACACACACACACACACACACACACACACACACACACACTTATTAAGCCATCATAAGTCATTCCAGCCCTCTGTCCTCTCCTATCACTGGAGCTCTGGGTGGACTCGAGTCTTCAGTCCACACCAGATACGATCATTCGAATACTGTACATCTTACTAATCTTTTTTTTATTATTATTATTTGTTTAAAAATGCAGATTGTACAATAACATAAATAATATTGAGTGTATCTCGTTGTGTGTTGACTTTTTTTGTATACATATCTTCACATTGATGCATAGGTTCTTCGAGGATAGTTCTCCATCAGGGTGTAGGGTCTGAAACCTCTTATCCAAAACACATTAAATTTTTATTTTTATTTATTTATTTTTTCATGATGAGATATTTTATTAAGCCCGTGTTCACACGAGCTTATAAAGAATTGACTGGATCTCAATAAGTGGGTGCACATGACTGTTAAAAGAAATTCTGTCTAAGAAAGGTCCAAAGTGAGCAATGCATATTCATGCTACTATACCTGATCTTAAGCATATGTACTGTAGGTCTGCAGTTAAACCATGCTCTAAAAATATAAAGGAAACAAGCTACCTCTTTTGAGCCTGTATAAAAAAAAAAAAGAGCAACTATCTAATGTGAATGTGTCTTGCTCTTTCTCTTTCATAAATCCAAATTCATGCTTATCACATGGTTGTGGTGCTCGATCTAACTATGCAGGGCGGGGCATGTGAGTAACAAGTCATGCAAGTTTACAGGAAGAGTGACAAAGCTGTTCAAATGTTCTTTAATCACCTTAGCAGTTGGGGTAGAAGATATGTAGACATATAATTCATTTAACAGGAAATTTTCCCCCTCAGGCCATATTTACACAGATACACAAGTCTTGCATTGCAATTATATTTAATATACCTTGATAAGCATGAAGTAACATCTCATGTTACTCATGATGTTTTGGCACCTTTATGGTAATTGAAATAATTAGAAACCTGAATAATAAAATGCGCTGTCAACCAAAAATGTTCAATTTAATTAATCAAGATTAAATAAACGGGGTTGTCCAAACGGACCATTTGTTCTAATTTTGGCTAATCCTAAAGGGCCTTACTAAGCAAGACACTCAGTGTAGAAAGCTTCAGTCCCTGTTCAAATACAGTGTACTAGTGCCTCTCAAAAATGACTAAATATTATAATAAGTTATTTTTTTGCAATTTCATGTGCAATAGGTCAAACCTTTTTTATCTTAATTTTGATCATAGCTTGTTGCTCATGAAAATTAGAAATCCAGTAAATGAGTAGTTTGAATAAATTATTATTTATACAGTATAAACACTGCAGACTAGTACATGAAACCACTATGATGAGTGACTATGCTGATTTGACAGATGTCTGGATGATGACCATTGACACCCTTAAGCCACCGAAGGTCACTGCTGAAAAGGCCGGCTGTTTGTAAAATAGTGTATTAAAGCATATTAAGGGAAAGTTGACTGGGGAAAAGACTGATGACTGCAGGCTCGAGAAGAGTTCAAGAAGGAGCTTCACAAGAAATAAACTGAGGCTCTGTGTGTCCCCCAAGAACCACCATGCACAGATGTCCTCAGGAAAGAAACTACATCTGTCGCATTTCTAATCTAAAACTACTCCAGAACCAGGGACAATGGCAGAAGCATCTCGCCTGGACTAAGGAGAAAAATGAACTGGACAGATGCTTCTGATTTATAAAATCAGGTCCTAAAGTCTGGAGGGAGAGTGCAGAGTTACAGGATCCGAGGTGCTTGAAGTCCAGTGTGAAGTTTCTGCAGCCTGTGATGATTTGGGGTACCATGCCATCTGCTGATGTTGGTTGTGTTTGGTTAACTGGAGCTATAAGCCAAAAAGTAATCAAAATGAATAAAACAAACAAACAAAAAGCAGAAAGCCACCACAGCTCCCCACAGCTGCTGAGCTCCAGGATGGATTGACGTCATTTGCTACAGATTCTGTCCACTGAGAATTTATTCCCAGAGAAATGATTCAAAGTACATTAAATTTGTTTCTCTAACATCTCCAAAATGTGGTCTGGCTGTCAGTTTGCATAAAGGCTGAGCTGACTCTACAACAACAGACTGTAGCCTGGTTACAGGCTAAAAAAAATCAAGCCACTAACACTTTTAAAGATGTGTGACTGGAAATGATAACTTCCTCGAAAACACCATTGTTCTCTCACTTTGTTAAACTTACAAGTGTTTTTTGCTCTCAGCTTAGAATATTTTAGCACGTCTTAGAGTTAAGTAAAACCTGACTCTACTTCTACAGAGTGTGCTTTCTGCATTAGTTACAAGTGATAAACACACTTGAAAAAGGCAAAAAGGGACAAAAAAAGAAGCTTTGTATGATATTAAATACATTTTTGGCCTTTTATACATCTACCACATAGTACTCAATGCTTTTAAGCATGTGGATCATATGTGTGACCTGGTGAAGTTCACACAAAACATCAGAATGTTTGTTGGTGTCAGAAGGGCTGATCAGAGTATTAAAAAAACTGTTCAGAAACTACTGGGACTTTCACACACAACCATCTCCACAGATTAAATGGGATGTTCTGAAAATAAGAAAATATCCAGTGAGCTACAGTTTCTACAGTTCTCTTAAGAAAATACCTTGTTTAAGTGGCCAAACTGCTTTGAGCTGATAAGGAGGAAACAGTAACTCAAATAACCAACTGGGCTGTGCAGAAGAAAATCCCTGAACTCGCACGTTGAAGACGAGTGTCACTCCTGCCAGTTAAGAACATAAAATGAAGCTACAATTTGCACAGACTGCCCTAAACTGGACATAGATGTTACATCAACAGTTCAGGCTGCTGGTGTAATAGTGTCGGGAATATTTTCTTGTACCACTTTTGGCCCCTTAGTACCAAGTGAGCATCATTTAAACCCCACAGGCTGCGGCTGAGCACGTTCGTCCCTTTATAACTGCAGTGTGACCATCTTCTGCTTCTAGCAGGATAACACATCATTTCAAAAATCTCCAATGATGCCAAACTGGTTTCTTTAACCTAACATTGAGTTTACTGCTCTCAAATAGCCTCCACAGTCGCCAGATGTAAATCCAATAGAGCACCTCTGGGAGGTAGTGGAACAGGAGATTTGCGTCATAGGTGTGCAGCTGACAAATGTGCAGCAGCTGTGTGACGCTCTCAAGTCAATATGGACCAAAATGTCTGATGATTGTTTCCAGGACCTTGATGAATCTGTGCCACGAAGGATTAAGGCAGTTATGCAGGCGAAAGGGGGTCCAACCCATAATGAGAAAGGTGTACCTAATCAAGTGGCTGGTGAATATATAGTCAGTAATATAGGTTTTAAAAACTATCAGGCAATGCCAAAATACTAAGCTCTATATTTATTAATATCTGCTAGGGCATGTATCATACAGTTTTGTGATTCCTGTGATGTTAAAAAAAACTGTCCTTTGAAAAGCATTTATTTTGAAAAGTCTGATAGAAATAAATGCTGCTGATACAAGAGGAGTGCTTTTCTGTAGCCACAGATACTTCAGTCTGTTTTTAGGCTTACCAAAAACTGTAAAACTCCACACGCATGAGAACCTGTTGTGGTTTTAAAGATGTGATGAAAATAGCAAAAGTAGATCTAAAAAGATTTAAGTGTCGAGTAAAATTAAAACAGAAAGCAGAACTGATGCACATGAGCTGTGAGAAAGGAGAGGGAGAAAAAACAAGCACCTGTTTGTCTGGGCAGACTATGCAAACTAAAAGCCTAATTTTGTTTGATGAGAACTCGTTGTGGAACACTGTTTGTGCTGTTTCATGGAGACACTGGGAAAACACAGGGAAACATCATCATCATTAGGCTATTATTAATGAAATCCTCTTCTGTAATGAGAAGTCAAATGAGTCAGTGTTGGTGGTGCTCTCAGGCATCCAAACAGGTCTGAGCCGGTTATAAAACAACCTACTTGACTGTTTTGCACTAACAGGAAGTGAAACATAAGTATGTCAGTACAAGTTTTGACAGAGCCAGCACACGTCATCACATCAGTCATCTCTTAGCCCCTGGCCACAGTTCCTCCTGTGTGTAATTCAAATGCTTATTAACTGCTTTTAAGGGTCCTGCCCATGTTTGTGGTTGATTTCAGGTTTCTGTAAAAACCAGCCTCAGGATGCCTTTTTTTTAATCTTTTCTATCACAGACTCTGTTGCCTTATTTATAGCCTTATTTTCTTGATTGATTTGTATGTTATTTTATAATTTTTAAACCCTTTTTATCCTGTATTTTCTTACAAAATGTAAAGCTAGTTACATCTTTTACTTTGCTTTATATATAGCAAATTAACACAGTGCTCTATTATGAATAGTATTATTCTTGCTGCTAATATTATCATCATTGTATCAATCCAGCTGAAATGTCGGCACTTCCCAAAAAGATACTGTTTACCAAATAAGACAGTCCGTCAGCAGCACAGTATATTGATATTTTTTGGTTGATTCAACTGAATAAATTTAATTTTATAAATATTCATCCTTGTTCAGCAAGGGATGACTCCTACTAGCGTTGTTAATCCCAACATCTTTTCCCCGTTACTCCATCAGGAAGCTCTACTATTAGAGAGACTGTAATGATATTTCAAAAACATTATCTTTTAATAAATAATTAAAAAAACAATGACAATTATGTCATTTATTATTATAAAATTTAGTCTTGACATTAATGTAACTTTGAAATGAATGATGCTACTGATCTGTAGTGCCATCTTCAGCTCTACACTTTATTTCCTGGACCACATGCAGACCTCTGTGACATCAGTGGCCTGAGCTAGTAAAGCCAGCATGATGGCCTTTATATGAAATTGTCCACCCCTCTAAACGCCCGCTTAGTTCAAATGTGGGTGTTACATTTACAAGAAGAGCAGCCTGAGATGTCTGAAGAAAGACTTTAACCATGTGTTTCAGCGAGTCTACAGGCACTGCTTGCAGCTAAGCAACACAAACAGCATTTACTGTGTTTATGAATCAGATCTAAATCTCTCCATGACCAGGAACAGAAGTGCATTTTATTTTTAAAAAAGGAATAAGCAGCTACACTGCAGTTTGGCACTTTGTAAAGATATCCAACCGGACCCTCTGACAGGCACAACACGATCAGTTGTATATTATACAGCTAATGTTTGCATACTCACTCTCTAACCTCATTTGATGACCACTAAACATGCAAAAAATCATCATGTTTAAAATAAAACAGCTGCAGATTAATAAAAACAGAGTAAACACAAATTTGCTCTTAAGGATTGAGGGCAAAAAAAATCCCATAAATTAATGCAGAGATAATGCAAATATGATTCAAGTTTTTCCCTTAGCAATACTACTTTCTGTTATTGCTTTTCATTTGACTGAAGTTATTGTGCAAACATCCGAAATTTTGGATGTTTAAAAAAATATCACCAGTTTAATTTATATTTCTTGCTTTGTTTGGACAGCAAGAAATGTGTTATTTAATAGTTTTGATGTCTTAAAAATAGATGAATAAATGTGTCCAGATTCTCAGTTGGTTACAATAAATTTTAATCTGCCACCCTTCCACTGTAAACATTACAAACCTACTGATTATAATGAAAACTGGATCCATGTGACAGCATCTGAAACAGTTCAACTTATTTGCATAGTGTCACCAAATAAATACAGATTTGATTTAGTGACACTGTGATGTGTTACGGCTGAGTCACGTAGTGTGAAAATGGAAAGCAGCCTTTTTGTAAATAGGAAAAATTAGTGATTGCATTGAATGTTTTCTGCTGTCAGCAACTGATTGCAATCAGTTTCAACAACAAAACCGGTGACCTGGAGGTTGACTGTGTACGCTCATTTTATATAGTCATAAAAAGTTTGGTCATGCTGCAGACTCCAGTCAGGACTCCAGTCCAGTTTTCCCTAATGTGACTGTAGCATTAGTGAGTTAAGCTCAGTTTACCAGAACAAGGTATTTTGGCTCTGTTTTACAGGCGGACCATGATGTTTTAATACCAAATAGACACAATGAAGTGACTACTTTTCCAGAATAATTTGGTATCAGTGTTTTTCAAAGGACTGATTTGTCAAAGCTCGGTGGCAAACCGATTTATTTGACACTTGTGACCAGTAGAGGGCAATGTAGTATTAATCTAACCTGACTTAATTCGATTTCATCAGTTCAGTGTGATATTTAACAGTTATGTGACCCTGAGGGGGGAAATATGATATCACTTTGGGCTACAGGTTGGTATTGTCAATTAATATGAGCCTTGCTTTTGAGCTTGTCTATATTTTGGCAAATTGGCATGTAAAACAAGACGAATTAGATATTAGGAGTTCTTTCTTGAGACTTCCTCATGAATATATCGAACAAAAATGTCTTGTAATTTCTAAGCAGGTTTTTGGAGGCTTGTTTGCATTCACTCTAGATATAAAGGTAATCCTGGAAGTTTAAATTCACTCAATCTAAAAAAATACAGCTATGTGTCTCTGTTTAATTATGCTGAAGGCTGAATTGTGACACTTTGGTATCTTCCCTTTAACTTTCAGGTGTTAAACTCCCCCCTGTAGCTGCATTTGAACAGTCAAAAACAATTATTACTTTTATTTTTTATTGTCTTATTCTTTTAGCTGTCTGTGCGAGCTCCTCAAAGTGCTAAAGACTAACTTGACCTTAATAAAGGAAGACACTACCCCCTGTTATCTGGTGGAGCTGATTATTGGTGCAGGAGTGGACTCTGACCTACACAGCAGCCACGCGAGTCCCACCAGCATGTGCTTACGCAAGACCAGTCAGTAATCTTTTTGTAAGATGACAGCAAGTCCTATTCAGCGCCTCCGAGGATTAAAACAACTTGTAAGTACATTTTTGTATCTAAAAGGAAGTGCATTTACTCGAGAGCTCAGTACTGAGTGCGTGCAAACACTGTAATTTCTGTTTTTCTTTTAACCTCATTATCTCAACTGACCACACCACTTAAAGTACAGTATAACACTGTGTTTTTCAGCAACCTCAGTGTCAGCTTCTTCAAATTCTGTTTATCACAAGACTGCCTTCTGACTTATTTCATCATGAGATCAGTTTGAAAGCCACACGCATGCACAAAGACAGAGTGAAAATGTGAAGAGGAAGAGATGGGCAGGCACATATGGTTTGTTGAATTCCTCGACAATGTCTGAAAGTAATGTGACAATTGTACCAGCCACAGGTGTGAACCCTTCATAATGCTGAAAAGGTTGTTATTTATTTTGGGTAATGACTAACTACCACTACACTGTATCGCAGGTATCAGTGGGATAAAAGTATTTCTGTTTTATGCTGATTTACATTTGTAACATGAGTCTACATTTATTTTAACTGCTGGATATTTGTTATGAGAAGAAATAAAGAAACAAAATATAGCATCAGAAATATAAAATACGATCCATTTCAGCAAATTAACTACAAAGTAACGATGAGTTGCTTCAGCTTTACTGGCTACAACAATAAAAGACATCTCAGGCATGAAAGTCTATACAGGTGAGGAAAGCATGACTGACAGTGTGGTAGACAGCGGGACCACAGGTACTGCTTGTCACATTACTTAGCTTCTAGTTTACTTATATTGCCAGCAGTTGCTGTACAAAGGAATAGGTTTCTGTTTGAGATCTCTGTCTGTTGGTACCGTTATCATGAACTCAATATCTCGAAGAACTTGAATGAATTTCTTCACATGACATTTATCTTAACTTAAGAATGAGCTTATCAGATGTTAGTGGTCAATGATCAAGGTCGCTGTGACCTCACAAAACATGTTTTTGGCCATAGCTCTTAGACTGTGATGGCATTTTATATGTAAAAGTTCAAAGGTCAAGTTTAGACCTCAACTTCCCTTGCTGGCAGAGGCATAAAACCAGAAGGGAGTAGTTATAATTTGTTTCAAAAGAATTTATTTTGTTTCAAAAGAATGCCGACTATTATTATTATTATTATTATTATTATTATTATTATTATTATTATTATTATTATTATTAGTAGTAGTAGTAGTAGTAGTAGTAGTAGTAGTAGTATAGTCATTGGTATAGACCAGGGGTCTCAAACTCAAATGAGCTGTGGGCCACTGCTGTCATCTCAGTGGAGGGCCACTTGAGTGTTCAAGTAGTACAAACAACAAACAAACAAGAAAACACCCACAAATATTTCTGAAAATTTAGTGTTTTTTCTCTTTGTTTTTTAAAATGTCAAATATTGTATAACAAGACAGAACAACAAATGTGAATGGATTTTTTCCTCATACTTAACTAACTGAAGCCCTTCATTGAACTACCAAACAAACAAATCCTTCCTAACAAAAAAAGTAACTTCAAGAGCCAAACTGCATTATATTTCTTCACATCAATATACAGGCCGCGAGTTTGAGACCACTGGTATTTACTCTGAGTTTGGGAACACCCAGACACAACAGCATTACACAGCACTTTTCTTACATACTGATGCATCCTTATTAATTTATTTCCACAGACTTTTTCACACTGATCCACCTGCAGTATGGCTCTGCTCGTCCACTTTCTGGCCTGCGCCTTTGGCATTGGCTCCTGGGTGGCTGTGAACGGACTGTGGGTGGAGCTGCCGCTCATTGTCAACGCACTCCCTGAAGGCTGGGATCTACCCTCCTACCTCACAGTAATTATCCAGTTGGCTAACGTGGGACCTCTGCTGGTCACCCTGATGCACAAACTGTACCCAGGGTGTCTTAAAGAGTATATTGTCATTTACTCCATCCTCTCCATCGGTGTCCTGTCCTGCATCCTGCTTGCCTTCTTCTGGGACAGGACCACGATTTTTATAGGGGCATCACGTAGCACAGCCTTCTTTATCATAACTTTCTTCCTTTCTCTGGTGGACTGCACTTCTTCAGTTACCTTCTTACCTTTTATGATGCAGCTTCCAGCAAAATATATTACCACTTATTATATTGGAGAGGGGCTAAGTGGTTTCATTCCTGGTGTAGTTGCTCTAGCTCAGGGTGTGGGTATGGCCAAATGCGTCAACTCTTCTGAGACTGCAGGAAACCACACAGGATCATTATATACGGAGTATCTTCCCCCAAACTTCTCCACCGAGGTGTTTTTCTTCATCCTAGCAGCCATGATGTGCATAAGCCTGGCTGCTTTTGTTGCACTGAACAGACTCCCTCGGACATACGAGCTGTCCACTGAGAACCTTGTGCAGGATACAGTAGTGTCTGTCAGCTCCTATCTGGATAACTCAGGGGCTGATCTTGATGGAGGAAGCGTAAAAAACAATGGTGAGGCGGTTGCCCAGGGCAGACATCTGGTGGCAAAACCTTCCGTGTACCAGCTGACCTTCATTTACTTTCTGGTGGTGTGGGTTAATTCTGCAACCAACGGCCTGCTTCCCTCTGTGCAAACATACTCCTGTATGCCATACGGGAACCTGGCCTATCACCTCTCTGCAGCTCTGGCATCAGTGGCCAACCCAGTGGCCTGTACTCTTGCAATGTTCATCCAAAACAGGTAATAATGTTTTATTATTGTAAGTCTGTATGAAACCAAAAGTGAAGTGTCCTGATGAACACCGAAGCAGTTTTGACTTCCTCTGTTCAGGGTAAAATCTGTACCAAATCAAAAACACGTGAATCAATTTGCTATGTTGGTAAATAGTTTACAGATGCATTTACTGAACATAACTCATAACTCATAAACGCTGGTCCCCTGGCCTGCAGGTTATGGGTCCACAGCTTGATCTGCAATAGACACTGGAAAGTATATAATGGACACTGAAGAATGGCCATCTAATTTAGGGTCATGGGAAGAGCAAAGCCTATCCCAGTTGTCATAGGGGTAGAAGCAGGGTACACCCTGGACAGGTTGCCAGTCATTTGCAGAGTTGTCACAGAGAGACAGATGACCATTCATGCTCATTCACACCCAATTTACAATCAAAAGTTAGCCTAACATGCACGCACATGTTTTTGGATTGTTGGAAGAAGTACCCACGCAGAGCTGGGGGGAACATGCAAACTCCACAAAGAAAGAAAGCTGGCTGGCAGACTCAAACCCAGGAGCGTCTCACTGTGAGGCAGCAGTGCTTACCACAGCACCTGCAAAAAGTAGGTCAGATTGAAAAATGAACCTACTGCTCCTCTAATCTATGACGTCAGTAAACACTTTCCTTATTATAGTCTCAATCTTTAGTCACATCTAAGAGCATAAAGATTGTTGTGACGATTACAGTTACAAAAGGCTGATTAAGCATGTTTACTGGGTATGATACTACAGCACCTTAGCATTGAAGACAAAGACACTTTTTTCATCTAATTTGGATTCCCCAAATCTTACATTTTCTAAAGAGGAGTGTAGATTTTATCCCCATCATGATTTTTGCAAGCTCTTTGGAAAAGAAGTTTTTACCATACAGCAAGCAAACTCTACTTTAGTGTGCTTACAGGTACCTGGTTGTTATTAACACATTTTTTCCCCCCACTATCACTCAAATATTTGCTCAAGGTCCATTGATTTATTCACTTGAAAGACAAGTTGCCTTTGGATTCAGAGAAATTAACAAACTGCTGCTGATAACAGACGTCTTTTGCGCCCAGGTCGCAGGTCTTTCTCGGCCTACTGGCGGTGGTGGGGACAGGATTTGGCAGCTATAACATGGCCATGGCAGCTATGAGTCCTTGTCCCTTGCTTCATGGGTCTGCAGTGGGAGAGGCGATAATTGTGAGTGAAACGCAAGCATGTTCTTTAAGAGAGGTGTGTACAAAAGTACAAAACCTCCTTCATAAACGTCCTGAGCATTGAACTCTGCTCACTCATAACTTATGATGAGGCAACATCATTACTCAGTGTGAAATCAGAGTCTATGTTTTAGTCACAAACACTGTTAAAATAATGATTAACATCCAAATGAGCTGCTGAGTCTGTGTTCTTGTTTTACTCTCACCAGGTGCTCTCATGGCTCTTCTTTACTGGGACATTGTCTTATGTCAAAGTCATGGTGGGTGTCATCCTGAGAGACCGGAGCCACAACGCTTTGGTCTGGTGTGGAGCTGCGACACAGATGGGTTCACTAGTGGGCTCCGTCATTATGTTCCCGCTGGTTAACATTTACCAGTTCTTCAAGTCAGGAGACTTCTGCAACACCGAGTGCCCTCTATGACTGATGACGAGCTGCAGACTTTGTTAGATTAATTTAATCTTTTTTTGCAAGAGATGTAGATGAAAGGCGCTCTCATGACTATAAACAAAAAGTGAAGCCAGAACTGTTTCTGGCATGTCACTCCCTCACTAACAAACATGCTGCATCTTGTTTTTAATCAAGGCACAAATTAACACACAAGTGGTTATGCAGTCCTGTGAAAAACAAAATACACTCTATGATTCAGTTGTTTGTATGACCACCTTTAGCTGCAATAACTTGAAGTTATTGTTTTCTATATGACTTTATTGCTCTCTCACACCGCTGTGGCCCACTCTCCTTTACTGCCTTGCTTTAGTTCATTGAGGTTTGCAGGCATTCATTTATGCACAGCTCATAAATCCACAGTATTTCAATCAGGTTGAAGTCTGGACTTTGACTGGGTCATTGCAACACCATGATTCTTTCATTCTTTCTTCTACTCTTGTAGATTTGCTGCTGTGCTTAGGATCATTGTCCTGTTGCACGACCCATTTTTGGACAAACTTTAACTGTCGGCCAGGTGCCTTTGCATTTGGCTCTAGAATATTTTGGTGTACAGAGGAATTCCTGGTTGACTCAGTGAGTGCAAGGTTCCTAAGTCCTGTGGCCTCAAAACAAACCCATATAATCACCCCTCCACCACCGTGCTGACAGCTGGAATGAGGTGTTTGTGCTTATGTGGTAAATGTGATTTCCGTCAAATGTGGCGCTGTGCACTGTGGCTAACCATCTTCACTGTGATCTTGTCTGACCAAAAGACATTGTTTCAGAAGTCTTGTGATTTATTGCAACTTGGCAACCTTAAGCTGTGCTGCCATGTTCATTTTAGAGACAAGAGACTTTCTTCTGGCAGCCTTCCAAACTGGCCATACTTGTTCAGTCGTTTTCTAATTTTTTATCGTCATGAACGTTAACATTTAACATACTAACCGAGGCCTGTAAGGTCTGAGATGTAGCTCTTGAGGTTTTTGCAGTCGTTGGGCATTGCCGTCTGACCTTGGGGTAAATTTACTAGGACATCCATTGCTGGGAAGATAGTGGCATTGTGCTAACACACACCTGAATGCTCCAGACCAGCAAACTGCCCAAACGTTAGCTTTTATAGAGGTGGTCACACTTGCTGCATTTGATTAGCAGCACCTGGCTGCTTCACATCATCTTAATTCCTGGGGTAGCAGTAAAGGTGTGCTTAGCCCTTCAGAGAGTCCTGTGAAAACTTATTTTTCCCCTCACATGACTCTAATCCTTCAAAACATCACAACATGTCATTTTTACATTTTTTCTTTGAGCTGGTAAAACCGACGTGCTTGTCAATGAGCTTCAGAGGTGAATTCAGCTTCTACCTTTTTCCAGACATACGACTGGTTTAAATTTTGCATTTTTTTTTTTGTTGCTCAAATGATATTTACTTTGCAATGTTGTGTTTATTAAAACACGTTTGGACTTACACTTGTTACAATATTTGGCCACTAGATGGCACAAGCATTCTTTTAAGACATGTCGGTTCACAATCTGCAGACACCGAGTGACCACAAATCCTTCGACGTGAAATACAGTTTACTGGGTGCTCGAAACAATAAAAGGGGTTAAACAGATTGAAAGCTCATATTTATGCAGCTATTATGTGGGATGTTTTGCTTTTTAAATCACCCATGTATAAAATGAAAATCTCATAAAAACAGGTGGTTGATGCATTTTATTATCTGTGGAGATGATGGACACACTGACAGGACATGGACGTCTATTTATAGAACCACACTACTAGTGACAGCTTGAAATAATCAGCAGGCTGTTCTGGCCAGGACCAATGCAGTTCTGGTCATTGTAAACAATGGAAGTCTTGCAGAAAATATGAAACAGTTGTGGTTATTTTCGGCACTAATATTTACATATTTTCATTTTATCCTACTTTAGACTTGCACTAAACGACATGAGAGAAAAATACCGTATTTTTCATTCTATTACATTTACTTACAAGTTACCATAGACATGTGAAAGTATAAACACGTGACTAGCATTCAAAATATGACGAATGACTGAACCATGATTTCTACCCACCTGTTGAAAAACACTTTATTGTGAGTAAGGTCAGCTCAAAGTCAAATGGCTTCCCCTCATAGCTTTTCAGATGGTTTTATTTAGATAACAGAACAAAATGTTTAAAGCTGAATACATATTTGTGTTGCAGAATCACTTCCTTCCTTCCTCTCTAGTTAATTATCTTACTTTCCCTCATATTTATGTTCTTCCCCAGCAGCAGGGCCTGACCTCTACAGCAGGGTAGGATCTAATGTATCTAAACATTTAATAAGATAAGATTACTTGGATCCACTTTCTAAAACAGAAAAACACTGCTTACACACTGTTGCATCAGTATTATGATACATAATAATATATGAGTCACTGAGGCTATTTTTAATTTAGGTATTAAGTAGGATTTTCAATGGAAGTGATCCACTGGTAGTGGGTGTTTTTGCAATGATATGTTGGTGCTATCTCCACTACTGAAATAATTTGCACCCCTAAAAATGAACAAGTATCAGTTAATTGGTTCAGGGTGTTAGTCGGGATTGTTGTGCATGGCTTGACTAACTTGTCTAACTAACCCTGGCTCCATATCTTAGTCCAGGAATTTTTTCAGGGATTTTAAAAAATCATTGTGATATAGGGCAAAATTTGTCATTTTGCACCATCTTACAAATATACCAAACTAAAATGAGAGGAATTCGGCAATGTCTTTAAAAATATCACTAATCCACTAATCCAGGCCCAGATATCCTTCTGGATCCAAGGACTCAATTTACGCATGTTATGGGGAGAATTTGAGGGAGGTGGTTAGTCCAACACTGTTATTTTTAATTAAAGGAAAAAATATTACCATCACAAAGGATATTTTCATTAGAGGTCTAGCAAATTTTATTGTCCCCTTGCTATTATACATATGATGAATGTGTGAGTCGTGCAAAGCTGCCTTTCATGTACAGCGATGCCCTTTCATTGATAAACATCAACTAGTGTTTAGAGGCAAGATTAGCAGCCATGAGAAAGCAGACATAAAATGATCCCATCATTCCTATCCTAAAGATGCTGGTGCAAATCCTCTGAGGAGTATGGACGGATGCTGGTCATCGATGGGAACCGCAGAGTGGTTTCCCATCAGCAGCTGTTCCTCCTCTCTGCCCCCCATGCCCTTCAGAAGGAAAGCGAGAGGTTCCCTGGCCTGGGTCTGGGGGGAAAAGCCAGGGCGGTGGAGGAGGGCTCTAATTACTGATGCTCAGCAGGGGGCCGATGGCTGTTGCTCCTGCCGCTGGTCACTTGGGAGCTTCCCTGACCCTGACACTGAGTAAAAACAAAAAGATAAGGAAAGGAAAATGGGGCCACAATTAGCCCTACATAGCCTCCAGGGCCCAGGATCAGTGGAGGAGAAGCACAGATGGGACTTTCTCACTTGGATTTGCTGAATCTACATTGCAGTACGTGTAAGCTGTGCAGAAATCACTGCAGTCAGTTGCTGATGCAGATTTAGAGGACGGGTTTGTATGAAATCTTAATCACGTCAAACAATACATGAGATTTATTGTTTTTGTCTTGAAATAAAAAATCTGAGCATGACTACAAAGTAGAAGTGTACACCTGAAGACTGTGCAAACGCTGTTCTCTCATTGCTAATGTGACCTTGAATGCTTGTATGTAATCAAGAGGATTTTCTCTACGCTTCATTAGCTAAATTCCCTGATTGGCTCTGGGCTTTTGTGTCAAGACAAAACAAAGCAGCAAAGAGAAGTGTATCATTTTCCTCCGAGTGTCAGATGGTCCCATCGCTCCTCCAGCTGGTCAGGAGGGGCTGTGGCCACCTGGATGCTGTGTCCCGGTCCTGTGAGATCCTGCAGTCTCTGCCGTGTGAAGACTCCACTTACTACGCAACTGAGAAGTCCATCTGCTCAGGTCGACACCTCCCAAAGAGTCCCCCTCCTCCTCGACACCACCGCTACCACGACCACAGCACCCCCTTGGCTCTCCTCCCTCCAGCCAGCCACTGTGCCTCTCAACTAAATGAGCAGCGTGTCAAATGGAAGGAGGATTTACCCTTCCTTTAACGGGATAAGAGAATGAATTCACAGCAGCATGATGCAATGAATGGATGGAACCACCTGCACTCTTGCAGCGTGGCTGCTGAATCGACAGATATGTCACCTGTATCTGACTTTGCACGCGCTTCTCTTCAGCATTCACTGAAAAGCGCGTTAGGCTTCTGTGACGAAACACGACGCAGAAGCACGGCCGCAGAAAAAGAGCGTAAACTGCTTTTTTAGGTCAAAAATAACAAAAAATAATGCTCAGAAAGTGTGGAAATTTGCTCGGGTGCACCCGGGGGCTGACAGATTTTGGCAGCTGACGTTCAGGTGAACAGCTTGTGGGCAAACCAATTGCTGATGCATGCAGACAAGCACGGCTCTGACAGCAACTCACAGCTTCTCCCCCATCAATTTCCACACACACTCTGTTTAATAAATGCTGTCCATTTATTTGAAATTGGATGTGACAGCCCTATGTCATTTCACTATAGTGTCTCAGAGCAGACAGTGATGCGCACGGGCCCACTCCTCGTTTTCTATCAGCAGGTATTGATGTTGCTTTAATGAAGTGCCTAGCACTCCACCCTAGGAAGAGACAAGTCTGTCAGCATATGTAAATGCTTCCTGCCTGTCATTGTTGTGGAAGGTTCAGCATAGGTCAGCATAGATTCCCCCTCTGGGAACCCTTTGTTCTGGGGCCCGACGGTGCCACATGAGGGGACCAATTACAGTGCTGCACAGCAGGACGGGGGTGCAAACTTGTTACCCTGCTGTAGTGAGCTAATTATTACCTCTACACTGTGGGTAGTATAGAGCCAGTGCATCATGCATGAGTAACAAAAGCAGGCTATTCTCTGTGTATGCGGCTTTTAAATGAATGGTTTACACTTCCCATATATGATAAGGCATTTCTCTTCTGTGCATTAGTTTGTATTGAAAGCACCATCATCACATTTTGGGAAAAGGTCATCTTAATTTTCCAGCCATAAATAGCTAGTGAACTACTTAAATCCCAGCGGAGGGCCTTTGCATTGACAATGCAAAGGCAATTTACAGGCTACAGTCTGCCAACCACATAACCTTGATTTGGTGTCAAGAAATGATTTATGAAAATGCATCCTGCTCTCTGTGTCCCGAGCGAGACCTGGCTGGACCCAGAGTGTTGACACAAAGCCTATATAGCCGAGCAAACACACTCGCTGAATTATCATTCATATCATAACATCTCAATGGGCTCTGGTTCCCGGTTCCTGATGAGATACTGGCAGTCTGTTTCTCATTAAGGAGTGCAAGCGATATGCCAGGTTTTTGCCGAGCAACAAAATATTTCAGCTGACATGCAAAATAGCACTTTATCCCAGTGCCAGTGACTGCAAATGTAAGTCAGATATTTGATGGAAATTGACAATGAGCAGGTCATCCTACGTGCATAAACACACCTGGGTTGTAAGCACATTTTCAGGAGTGTTTTGGAGGGTAAAGTAAGGGGTATATTTTGGGACAAAAATACTAAAAACACCTCTTGATGCATATAGACACCATCCTCTTCTTACCATTAGCTCCCTCCCCTTACATCCAACCCATTCATCTCCTTCTCCCCACCCCCAGTGACCAGTCGAGCCCAGCTGCTAGGGGCTACCAGTCCCCCTTCGTGTGTGGGGCCAGTCAAGTGGAAAATGGCTGCTACCGAGAGAGCCCACTTTAGAGAGCCATCATCCTTTGAAGGGGCATGATGGCCTTTGACAGCCACAGTGTTAACACGGAGCCCACATGAACACAGCACTGCTATTATCGTGTTTACTAAGCAAAAGCAGAGGAGAAGGGATCAAGGGGAGACCCTGTTGGTTGATGTTTGAATCCAGGGGTAGCAGCGAGCTCATCCCAGCCGTGCCACAGTGGCACTGTGGGGAAACATGACATGGGATCACTCACAGTCAGGTGGAGATTGGTCATTCAGCATCTGCGTTGTTGTTTGGCGTGTGCATTGTTCTCTGGGAACAGTGTGATTGTTATCGAGCCATTTGCCTGTTTCAGCCAGATTCTGCAGCTAAAATAACTCCTGCACAGTTGTTCTTATTTACTTTGGCACAAACATCAAATGAAAATCACAATTCTCAAAGGCTCGGCTCACTTTATTTGAGCCAATCTTGCAATTCTTGTTCCTTTTACACATTGTTCAGGTACATTCAAGTACAGATACGCTATCTTCAAACGAGCCAAAAATATTTTGTGCAAAAACATCTGATATTTATAGTTTAACAGCTCATATCTAATGTGTTGGTGCGCTCAAGCAGAGTCATTTAAGTGCTGGAGAGACTTGATTTTAATATCTGAAGAGTCCTTAACTGCTGGAACTAGTATTTGTGAATTTATTTAGTCTGATGTAAAGAATATGCAACTTTTCCAATGAGAAATTAAACTAGACATATTATGCTCGTCCTCATTTTCTGTTTAATATACACTGTTTAAAATATTATAGATAAGGTCAATGCATGTACAACTCACCTCTGTGAGTCAAACGGCATTCAGACTGCTGTAAAAACTGTAAAAAGTTTTATATATATATATATTTTACCTTCAGCTCAGAGCACCAGCATCCATAATATGGTCATTTGAGGCACACAGCTCTGACTCTGAGCACATAAATCCCTCCCACCTGCTTTTTACACCTACTGTTTACAACGGGCAGCCAATCACATGAAAGCTTGTTTGAACGGCGAGGATGGGAGCTAAAACAGGTTGTTCATTGACAGTGAATTAACTGATAATCTACTCCTAATAAAGTGGGTCAAGCCCCATAGACTTCTATGTTAAACTGCCCAGCTGTACAGAATAAACGGACAGTTTGTTTTAATAGCTAATTTTCCTAACTTTCCCCTAATGACATGTAGATGCCAAATTTTCCTATAACTTAACTCTGCTTTGTCATCTAAGTTAATCTGAGTCAAAAAACTGTTTTAACTCAAAAGCCTGTTTGAGTTTATTTCCTCTAGGTCAGTTCAAACTGGGGGTATCTGTGCAAAAATCCATATTTAGAGGTGATTAAAATGCATTTACTCTTTGAAATTTAAAGTAAGTGGTGACCTTTTGCAGAACAAAACAATATAACTATGTTGTGGGGTTATGGGAAGCACAACAGAAAATGTGCACAACCAACTGCGAGAACAGTAATATGGTCATTAGCTGATGCAGTGTGCTCTAATCCACCTTTGACCTTATGCAGTGTGTGCAGCCCAATTTATGCATGCAGGTTGGATCAGCAGCAGATAAAAGCTGAAATCGTTTCATCCGGCTCTGCTCTCTCTGGCGCCGCTCCAGCACTGGCTGACTGCTGATGTATGGCTGCAACTCGACCAAGCCGCTCTCACAGCTCCGGCACATGTTGCTGGAGGACACACGTGGAGTTCAGAATGAGCAACAGTGATTTTAACTGCAACAAATGGTCGAGGTATGTCATTATCCAGATTTTTGGTGAGGGGGATCATTACCTGCCACAGATGCCACTGTTGTTTTGTGTCTCCATTTGTCCTGAGGCTAGCAAACCCTGATACTTGAAAAGAGCAGGAGGTGCCTTTGTGTAGACGCGCACCTGATCTTAGCAATCAATTGGCAGCTCTACCCCTCACACAAGTCTCCCAGGCTCTGCCTCAAGGCCGTCCATCTGTTGCTGTGAGGATGTGTGGCTGCAAGTGCCTGCGTGCAGGTCGGCATCTATCTGTGTGCATGCATGTTTCTGGAGGAGGAGGTTATAGAAAATATGTGATTTGTGGTTTTGGTTCTGTTGGAACCTTTGCTCTCAGAGGTATATTTCTTTTACTCTCTCTGTGGTCGTGAAACTGATATTTAAAGTGGAAATGGGTGACAAGCCTATACATGGCAAGATGCTCGCTGTGTAATTAGTGTAAGCAGAGCCAGGGGGAAGCACTTAGATCTGTACATTCTAATAAAATTAGCATATTGAGGCTTTTATCTTCCCGATAACCAGATGTAAAGATATACATGAAGTATAGAAGAAAAAACTGAGGTAAAAAGGACAAAAAGATTCAGTCTTTCCAACATGCTTTAACAACAGATTTTTATTTCCTGCTGAGTTTGCATGAAATGACTGTTTGTGAACGCCATATCTTCTCTGAAAACATTAGAAAAGCTTTTTAATGGTGGCACTGAATGTCTTTAGCATTAAATACACCTGTATGTGTTTTACACAGAGCTCCTTACTTAGTTGAAATTCAGTGAGGAAAGCAGTGGAGCAGAACAAATGATCATGACAGAAAGTTGTGCTATCCTTAAATATGTGACATTTTGAATGGTTGTTTTCTATATTAGAAAGGTAAAACAAGCACCCATAACTTATATTTTACAACTCTGCAGGAGTTTTCAACTCATATCCACTCTGGAAATCCCACTGAGCATCTCTCTGAGGCCAGGGCTCTTGCATCCCATGGCACTTGTAACATCTTTTTTGCAGTCCAGGAAGTTGACATGGAAAAAATTTATGATCTGTATTTCATTCATCCACACTTGATGTTATACTGTGATACAGCAGTGCAAAAGGTCCTTGGTTTGAGTCAGCTAAACAATCATAATGTTTGGTGACAAAGAGTATAACATCCACACCTCAACAATGTTTTAAATACCACAAAAATTAGATTTACCAAGATAAGCCGCTATTCTCAAAACAGACACTTTACCAACAGTGACAAACATAAGAATTTTACCTGTGGCACTATGTGTTTCCAGATTTTGGATGTGCATTGGAAGCAAGCAGCCTTTCCATAGAAGCTGTATTTATGAAAGTAACCTCAGACATGTTTGGAGTAAACACATCTTCGGTCATCAACATTTGAAGAATCCCAGTTCCCTTGCAACACCCACACCAGTGTTTTCATTGTTAAAACTGTATTTTAAAAAGTATTTAAAAATACCCAAAGCGTTAGAAAGTGTTATAGTGCCATTTGGAGTAATGTTTAATTTAAAAAAAAAATTAATATAAAAATATAAATATTAATACACAAGCTAAAAGTCTGCATGGATTCTGATATTCGGTATTGGCTGATATTAAAAATAAACGCAGAATACAAATGCTCCATCTAATAAGAATGAGAATAAACAGAAATTTTAACAGGTTTTCAGAGGGGGGATTAAACCTTCAAAAGGAAGTTACATTGTATAAACAATTCAGCCTGGTTTCGTACTTTACATTCACACTGCTCCACCTTACTTGATGTTAATATATGTGGACGTATGTGTCTGGTTTTTCCAAAAGCATTGCAGCATTGAAGCTGAGCTGGGCATCTGCAGAACAGTTTTTATTTTATTTTTTTTAATGCAAACTCTTGGTATAAAGCGCACAAAATAACATAGATATAGATCTATAAATACATAGATATCCATCTTTGGAAGCTGATCAGACACGTGAAGGAGACGAGGTAGCCTTTGAGGAAGATGAATGCAGGACATATTCATCTCTTCTGCACATGTTAAACTCTTCTGATTAAGTGTATGTGCAACTGCACATCTGACTATATGAAATCACACCATGTGCAAACCGCTGACCTGAAAGCTTCTCTTTACTGGGTGACTCTGAGAAGCATTACACTGAATAACATCGGCCTCCAAAGAGCTCACAGGAACATGATTTTTGATACCACTGACCTTGCAAATATCGAACCTTTCAGATACATAACCTGATCCAGGGTTGCTCTGGGTTGGGTCTGTTCATATTTAATGTACATAATATATAAGAAAATTATGAATAATTGATTGATACCAGAAAGGAAGCATGTGTTGTGCTGTTGCCTTGATCTGTATGGTTTCCCACTTTTATCTCTCTGCTGTGACAAAGCAAAATGTAAGATTTGTATTAAATATAACATATTGTGTATAAAATTATTGCCTTTTAACTGGTATCAAAGGACGTGTTACTCATTTTGTTGCAAATAATGAGGGTTTAATGATTTATTTCATTATATCATGCAGATTATTGATCCTTCTTTTGCCTACACTGCTGCTATGTAAGTGGAATAGTTAGAGATGGAAAAACAGTAATTTGTCGTATGTATACTGGTGCCCCCTCTCTGTACGCTCCCACTTTAATGTGATTTTGTTCATTATAGGGATTCAGTGCTGGGGAGAATGTCATATGCTAAGTTAACCTCTGCGTGCCTCAGTGGCTCACCGCCAGTTATGAAAGGACACCAACATAGACACACTCTCTTGGATGACGACAACTGGCAAAGTCCCCAACCTTTAAAAAAACTGGAGCCGATGCTGGATGTATCCCATGGTGTGAGTGCACTCAATAAATCTGCGAGGGGCTGGTTCAGACTCCCACACGTCACCATTCAGTGTCCTTGAAAGCAGCTAATGCCATATCAGTTCAGCAAACACAAGATCCATCCGCTCTGCCACAAGTCAATGAGTCACTGAGAGCACTTTTAATTGTGTGGATAGCCGGCGATGTCCATTTCATAAATATATTGAGTAAAATAGTCACAGATCATTTTGAACTGGCCCTGAGAGCTCGTCTTTTCATTGGACAGCCTACTGTGAGGACGGCCAACAATCCCATTGAGAAATTAGCAGGGTCCCCTGTGTTTTCCTTTCCTTTAATGAATAATTCAGCTGTCAGGGTGAAAGCAGGGCGAAGAGACCTTGTCACTGGCGACTGACTCAGCACTCTGTGGCCTGAGGGTGACACTAAACCTGAGCTTTGCATCCGGTGCCCTTCATAACAGGTTGTAGTGCTACAGTATGTCTCCTGCGCTGGTGGCCATACGATCATCCAAATGCAGAGGAGGACAGGAAGCTCTTCTCAGCACGCATCTTTCTACTCATTATCAGGCTCCATAAAGGTTCTGCAGATCACATTAGTTTCTGTTGTTTTAGGTTTAGCTGTACAGTGTGGCTTTAGCTGTGGTGGTTAATGTTAAATGAAAACTGATTGCAAGTTAATTTACCTAATACACCAACTATAAAAACGCTGTAAAGATGCAGGACTTTTCTTGTAGCTGATGAAACTAACTGTAATTGTCATTTGTCATTATTTTCCAAACTTTCAAGTGTCAGATGCTGAAACCATGAAATATGTCAGTGCATATACTTGCATGCACTTGGAGCATGCAGTTGTTCGTGTACTTTGCAGGATAATAATCAGTGTGTGAAATAAGTTCATAGATATTGCTGCTAAACACAGTAAAGGCAGTGGAGCAAAAATGGTTGGATGCTATTTGTTTTAAAATACGGATAGTTAGATATAAGCTGAATATCTCTGTCAGTTTGGATCAGGGA